GTCTGTCTGTAACCATCCGTTGGGGCAATGATAGGTATAAAATCCTACGCACTTTGTGCTGTACCATTTATTATGCTTTAGGACAGATCAAGGATTTTTTTCAGGCGGGATGTCGAAACTTCATAAATTGAATAATAATTTTACTTTGGACAGGAAATTAACCCAAACGCCCAAATTGAAAGAGAAACTAGACGTACATGTATTATGAGCAATGAAGTCACTAAATGATACCCCCTGCCTCCCATGGTTATAATGGCAAAGTCTATATTTCGCTAAACTCATATGTGTCAGATCAAAAAGTAAAATAGGAGGTGCATAATGGTAATCTGTAATAAACTTAAGATTCTTTGAAAGTTTCATTAAATTTCTCTAAGTGGTGTAAGAGGATTTGCGGATAAGAGATGGGTACCCCAAAGCGTAACAGACAGACGAACGGACATAACGATTACCTCTAACTTTTCAGGCGGGGGATATAATAATATAAATCACAGGAATGGGAACATTGGGAACTTTCTCGAATACCTTCTCAAACGTATGTGTCGAACTTGGACAACAGACAAGAGAATTTTTAAAAAGATAGTTTTAGGTAAAATGTGGAATTCTCAAGAGGAGTTTACTCTCTCTTCCTATATGCTTTTTCTAATAATCATTACTTATTTATGTCTAGAAATTTAATTCACATTAAATTCTATTTTCATTATCATTGTACCAAAGAATCAAACTCGTTTATTATACCCCACGCGTGAGGTATAATGTTTTCGACCCGTCAGTCAGTCTTTTTTTTTTTTTGTTTTTGTTTTTTTTTTGGTCAGCGCAACTTCTCATAAACCACTGTACAGAGCTTTGTCGAACTTTGCAGATATTTATAGGAGACAATGTGTGTGTAGATTTGCATATCACCAGGAAATTCCGAATTCTTTATTTTTCGGGAATTTCCTCACTTTTACATTTAGATTTTGGCCATATCTTGAATATAGAGGTGAGCAGTTTGTCAGCGCAACTCCTCATAAACCGCTGCACACAATTTCGTCAAACTTTGCAGATATTTAGGACACGATGTGTATAGATGTGCATATTACAAGGAAATTACGATTCCTTTATTTTTTTCTGGGAATTTCAGCACTACTTCGACTTTTGGGGGAGCGTGGGGTATGTGAACGTGCTCACTTTTTCTTTCATAGTGCATAAAATTATAGATAACTTTAAATCTAATTATATTAGGTCTAATAAAGCCAATACACAATATTTATTTGATAATAATTGATCATAAAGAAATCCAATCTGTTTCAGACGTTTTTCTTACATTTTTTTTATGAGAGTGTTATGCATGTTTTATTACCCCCCCCCCCCCCCATATCACGGGAAAATATCTTCAAAAGGTGAATGATTCGTAATAATGCCTGCTTTTTTTAATGAATTTGATGAAGTTAAACCATGTACTTAATCGTAAATTTTATTTACAACATGTACAGACAAGAGTAATGTTTATTTTTGAAAAATTACTTGCATTTTTTTTCAATCAACCCCACTGAGCTTTCAACCTTTGATATTTTCCCTGACCAAATAAAATGATCGGCATGGGCCACGTGTGTCCAAGCATCTTTTACTGTTGAGTTAGCAATGGATTACATGACTTCTGAGATGCATTTTTCAATAAAAGTAAAATAGGATAATTCTTCCGACATGTGCACATCCCTGTAACGATAGCAGTAGTCAGGTAAATGTTTTTATCACTGCGTTTGACGCGTTTTCTCGACCTGCATGGGTGTTTGATGTACATGTATGTATTCCGTGTTAGTTTATTTTCTATATTGCAGCAAATGCATTCAAAAATAATTTAATTCTCGGTATAGTTCTATTTTTTGTTGAATTTTTACTTTTCAAACATGTATTTGGTCAGTTTATGGACTTCTAAAAACTTTGTTATCGGAGATGTGTACATGTCGACAGTCAGGCTAGAAAATCACTCAAGTAAAGCAATCGTACAAGGCTATATATAGCAGGTACAGGTGACCAAAAATTTTCAATTAAATATGGCGGAATCGAAGAAATATGGCGGACAAAGGCGTACAGGAATGTAGTTAGTCGTACAAAGATGAAAACTGATGCCTTTTAAAGAGTTCATGTCAGCTTTAACAATATAGACCCGTGTCGCAGAAAGTGCTGGCACGAAAGGATCCCTCACTGTTCATTTGCCCCGAGTGCCGAGTATATTAGGTCAAAATGTTTACAAAGTGGTGGCGTCTCCATATGAGTAAAAAATTCTGCAAAGAGCCGCTTAACAACATATTTAAAAAAACATCTATGTCTTACTGCCAGTACACAGTACACTAGTGCTTGGGCTTGCTCAGCGTCGCGCCATATCGCGTAAATTATAAGAAGTTAACATGTAGACAGGGACATTCTTCGGAAGAAATTGCGAACGATTTTTCAGGAATTCACAGAAATAAACATGTTTATGGAAAAAATGCCATTGGTATGTACATTTTAAATTTCTCTTTCTCAATTTGATCCATAAATTTATATCAATATTCTATTGTTTAAATCGGTAGTACATATAGCCTATACCCCCTTCCAAAATCACAGTGTTGCATGTTCATACCAATTAGATATTGACATTTTATAGTGCAGTTTGCAGTACATGTATACGTATAAATCGTTTAATAATAGCAATAAAGACAGTTTTATTGTTCATTGTAAATATGAATGTAAAAGCAATGTATAGTCCTTTCAGTAAAACCTTACTTTTTTTGATGAGTTCTTTACATTTTCAGTTTATTTAGACAATTAAATTCACGAATTTGTCTTTTTTGGTCAAATCACACTTAAAGAACATGGAACGGTTGGTTTCAAAATAAATCAGGCCCTGTATTTTTCTGAGATATGGAAGTGGTTTTCAAAAAATGCTCTTTCTGAAATTTGAAATTTCATGTCGTTAAGACATTCAAATCGTTTTCCCAATATGACCTTCTAAATGCTTACTACACAATATATTCATGGGTGTCGGAAGCGAATTGAAGCTGGGGGGGGGGGGGGCACTAAACCAACCACAAACCAGAAGTCTCTGTCGAGACTGTAGCTCTACTGGTATGTACTTATCAATAACCATTGCACTATTTTATGTATCTTTGTGTAGTCTACTTGTGTGCCAACTTATTTTGAAATCAAACTAGAACTGTAGAAGGAGTAGCGTTTTTAAGGAATTTCACAGAAAATTCTATTTTTAGTAACCATGGTAACACCGTTCATCGAAATCAGAAACCAATGCACTATTCTATGTATCTTAGTGTAGTCTACTTGTGTGCCAAGTTATACTGATATCAGACCAAAACTGTAGAAGGAGTAGCGTTTTTAAAGAATTTCACAGAAAGTTCTATTTTTAGTAACCATGGCAACATCGTTCATCGAAATTAAAAACCGATGCACTATTCTATGTATCTTAGTGTAGTCTACTTATGTGCCAAGTTATATTGAAATCAGACCAAAACTGTAGAAGAAGTAGCGTTTTTAAGGAATTTCACAGAAAATTCTATTTTTAGTAACCATGGTAACACCGTTCATCGAAATCAAAAACCGATGCACTATTCTATGTATCTTAGTGTAGTCTACTACTGTGCCAAGTTATATTGAAATCAGACCAAAACTGTGGAAGGAGTAGCGTTTTAAAGGAATTTCACAGAAAATTCTATTTATAGTAACCATGGCAACACCGTTCATCGAAATTAAAAACCGATGCACTATTCTATGTATCTTAGTGTAGCCTACTTTTGTGCTAAGTTATATTGAAATCAGACCAAAACTGTAGAAGGAGTAGCGTTTTAAAGGAATTTCACAGAAAATTCTATTTTTAGTAACCATGGCAACACCGTTCATCGAAATCAAAAACCGATGCACTATTCTATGTATCTTAGTGTAGTCTACTACTGTGCCAAGTTATATTGAAATCAGACCAAAACTGTGGAAGGAGTAGCATTTTAAAGGAATTTCACAGAAAATTCTATTTTTAGTAACCATGGCAACACCATTCATGGAAATCAAAAACCGATGCACTATTCTATGTATCTTAGTGTAGTCTACTTGTGTGCCAAAGTATATTGAAATCAGACCAAAACTGTGGAAGGAGTAGCGTTTTAAAGGAATTTCACAGAAAATTCTATTTTTAGTAACCATGGTAACACCGTTCATCGAAATTAAAAACCCATGCACTATTCTATGTATCTTAGTGTAGTCTACTTGTGTGCCAAGTTATATTGAAATCAGACTAAAATTGTAGGAGGAGTAGCGTTTTGAAAAATTGTTTACAGACAGACGGACAGACAGACAGACAGACGGACGGACGCCGGACGCATTACTATCGCATAAGCTCTTCTGGTCTCTGACCAGTAGAGCTAAAAAAGGTAAATCCGAATTTTCATGCCTATATTATGCCTATATAATATTTCTATTTTTGCAAAATAAAGTGTGCCCCCCCCCCCACCCCCGGTTCCGACGCCTATGATATCTTAATATTAAGGTTGGCGACGACTTGGGGCTTTCTAAAGGAAAGTAACAACAAAAATGACTTTTAGAGGCCTTTCTGCATTAAAAATGTTCCAAACTAATGACGTCATATTTTCAGAATGGTTCTCTTTAATGCCATATTCTTGAATGATTTATCATTTGCACCTATTTAACTTGTATTGAAGCCAATTTCATAACTTTTACGAACATTAAATTTTTAGGGCACAATAAAGTCTAAACTGTACCTTCTTAATTTAATGTTTACATTCTACAAAAAATTTTTCCCTTTGCCTAAGGTACAGAGAAACTGCGTGTAAAACTAGTCCGTGACTATTCTTTTTTTCGAAAAATGAACAATTTTGCGCCTTCAACAACTTTCTCTTTGCAATCCTTCACGTTCTGATTCTGGAAAACATGAAAATTGTTATTACCGGCGACTTCCTACAACTTCATGTTACATCCCGTCTTAAATACGCCGGAGGCTATTAAACGTAACAAACTTGTTATATGAACAATTTAACTATAACATAAATAAAACTCTCAAAAGAAAACCACCTGTTACATATCATTAACATTCTCTTTGTTTCAGAATAAATCTTGAAAAGAAATTCATGTATCTTTTAAGTCTGTGTACAGGAATAAGTTCCAAAACACCCACATTCACAATTCATGTCAGTGCCCCCATAAGAAATCGTAAATGTTGCAAAGGGTGGTAACTCCTCCCAAGTGACGGGATTTCTACACAAGATACAATTATCTCTACAAGTCAGTTTGAGTCCTGTCCTTGGACAGTATACGGAACCATCACATCGACAGAAACATGACCGAGCACGACATCTAGAAAGCTGAACATCAAACCGAGTCAGTGGGCTGTGCGTTTCACCGCTGTATTCACAATTCCGACAGACTTTGACAGTGCCCGTGGTTGACAAAATCTGGATACAAAATACCAGACGTATACCGGTAGATATAGTAGTACAATCAAGCTGAAATAATGCAAAAAATGCTTGTTGTAAATTAAAAAAAATATACTCTTTATTCTCTAAAATACTCAATTCTTCAATTCGATCGGCGATAATATTTTTGTCGAAATTGAATATATAAATATGCAATTTATTGCTAAAACGCGGAACGGAAAACGGAACGGAAAGCGGAACGGAACGGAAAACGGAAAACGGAAAATATCGTTTGAGATTAAATCATTTAAAATATATTAATTTCTCAGAAACGATATATTTTATACATATTTAATCCCTCCATGATCAATACAAGTTTAATTAGTCATTTTAAGTCTCTTACGAAAAGCGCTGACAAAGTAATGACATAGCTCATATTTCTTTCAATATTATTTTCTTACACTTACTGACTACTATTAATTTAACAGACAGAAAGTGTTGGAGGTTTCTATGATCCTTTTAATAGTATAAAGGGTATGTCTGGAAAACAGTTGAGGGGATATTTGTTATCTTTAAAAATCATGGTAATTGGTAAAAAGAAAATAAAATGTAAAAAAAAAATCTTCTAAATAAGATTACTATTAGAGCATCCCTTTCCCACAAGCCCGGATAACACTTCGATTGTAGAACTGGTTTTTAAAATTTTATGCAAGTTAGAGTCGCTTCCTATCAATTAAAATCTTGGATAGATGGAGTTGTAAATCTTTACTGTAGTGAAATTAATATATCGTCCATACGTTTAATTAAGTTATTAAAGCGTTTTACTTTGTTGGGGGAGTGGGGATGAATGACACAGTAAAACGTGTTTCCTTATGTTGCAGCTATTCATATTTTAATTTCTCAATATGCATGCATATCATATCCCACTCATGGATTTAAAGGGGAGAAAGACCCCCCGTCCTTTTTGTGACCAATATATATGTGTGACTGAGGGAACCTACTCCGACCCCAAACTGCCCCCTCCCCATTTCAAGATTCCCGGATTCGCCAGAGCATGCGGCATAATCTGTATACCAGTATGTCAAAACTAGTTCTTTTTTGTCTTTACCGATACACGTATTTATACATCCTACTAGTCTTTTTCCTTCCGTCTTTTTCAATACAAGATTTTTTATTTATAAATAAGTATTCTCTAAAAAATGATTTGAACGAAACGTTTGACAGATGGATACTACTGTAGACATAGGCGTCGGAACCGGGGGGGGGGTGGGGGGGGGCTTTTTTTCGAAATATATACTTAGTATAGACATTGAACATTGTCATTGTAGGTTTAGCCCCCCCCCCCCCACACACACACACTTTCCTCAGACACGTCGCAGTGTAGTTTAAAAATGGTGAAAGTGGTGGTGTTTGGAAAAAATTTTGGTACTGAAGTTCGAACCCCCCTCCCCCAACGAAATAGGATTTTCGTGTTTGGGACATTTTCCTTTTTTTTGCTTGTCAGGTTTTTTTGAAGGTATAATTTTTTTTTTTAGACTTAGCCCCCCTCCACTTTCAATCTGCTTCAGACGCCAGTGGTAGATCACAATTTTCGCGAGACTGTCATTGATTCTTTGTAAGCGAGACATAATTTTCACGAATAGTTGTTATTCCTCTATATAATCGGAAGGAATACTTTTATACGCGAGAATTTAATTTTGGCGAACGCATTGACTCGCGTAATTACGCAAAAATAACAAGAGACCCATGGGCCACATCGCTCACTTGACCACTGTGGGTAGGAAAAAGTAGAAATTGGTTTATTATTGAAAAGTTTGAAACCAAAAGTAAACCCATGACCAGTTATGGTTTTGCTATTCTTGAGAAGATGATTTTTAAGGAATATTCCTATATATTTCAATGTAAAACTTTGGTCGACCATTGTGGCCCCGCCCTACCCCCGGGGGTCATGATTTGAACAAACTTGAACCGACACTACCTGAGGATGCTTCCATATAAATATGATCAATTATGGCTTTGTCGTTCTTGACAAGAAGATTTTTAAAGAATTTTCCTATATATTTCTAAGTGAAACTTTGGTCGGCCATTGTGGCCCCGCCCTACCCCCGGGGGTCATGATTTGTACAAACTATAATCTACACTACATGAGGATGCTTCCGTATAAATATGATCGATAATGGCTAAATGTTATTCTTGAGCAGAAGATTTTAAAAGAATTTTCCTATATATTTCGATGGAAAATTTTGGTCGGCCATTGTGGCCCCGCCCTACCCCCAGGGGTCATGATTTGAACAAATTTGAACCGACACTACCGGTGGATGCTTCCATGTAAAGATGATCAATTATTGCTTTGTTATTCTTGAGAAGAAGATTTTTAAAGAATTTTCCTATATATTTCTATGTAAAACTTTGGTTGGCCACTGACTGGCCACGCCCCACCCTCGGGGGTCATGATTTGAACAAACTTGAATCTACACTACCCGAGGATGTTTCCCCATAAGTTTCATCTTTCCTGGCACAGTGGTTCTTGAGAAGAAGATTTTTAAAACATACCACCAAATTTTCACTAATTCCCAATTATCTCCCCTTGAATAAGGGGGTGGCCCTTTATTTGAACAAACATGAATCCCTTTTACTCAAGGATGCTTTTTGACCAGTTTGGTTGAAATTGACCCAGCGGTTCTTGAGAAGTCGAAAATGTGGAAAGTTTACAGACAGACAGACAGAGAGACGGACGCCGGACAAAATGTGATCAGAAAGGCTCAGGTGAGCTAAAAAGTAATTTACAGTAGTTAGTACATCTAAATCACAGTATGCATTTTATTGACCATCGCATGTACATGTTATGAGAGGAGCATAATTCAGAAATATATCATATTTTACGTTAATTTTTCATTAAATATGACTTTTATGTCATGAATATTGCTTTTTATTTCTGATTCATATCGAATTAAGGTTCTTTGCTTGACATTTATTTTCCGTTTTCCGTTCCGTTCCGCTTTCCGTTCCGTTTTCCGTTCTGCGTTTTAGCAACACCCCAATTTATTAACTCTTCCACACTTTTCTTTTTTCCTTAAATAATTTGAAATGTTCAACATTTCCTTGGTCTGATCTATATCATTTTCTCAAAACAATATATTTTGTAAATTGTGCATAGACAAGCTGATTAAAGGATAGAAGCGCATGCGCATATCTGGATCGAGGTTGGGTGGGTGCGGAATTATTACATGTAAATGTATCTACTTCAGAAAAATGTCAAATCGATATAAAGATTTGAATACTTATTCCTTATTTTTTTATAGCTTATTCTAAAAATATGTACAGAAGATTCTTTTTGTATAAAATATTTGTCGCACTTTAATAATGACTTCATGAGAAAGTTTTTTCACACGCCAGAAGGCACCTGTTTTTCATATGTTCAATAACCGTCACAAAAGCTAAGTCGGTAGAGCTTTCGATCCCTGTTTTGGAAGGTCGTGAGTTCGAATCTAGACCGCAAGAGACCCAAGTCGATAATGAATAGGTAGCAACTGTTTCTCCCCATGCTCTCGGAACGTTGAAGTGAACTTTGCGGGTCCTTTGGATGAGACCTTCAACCCCGAAATGCCTTGTCAAGGCAGGCTTTCGCACGATCAAGATTCCGAACAGCTCAATGGCCATCAGTGCCGAGGAAAGGTCAAAATTTTAAGCCGTTTTTTGGTTTATCGAGACGTCTCTATATGAGTGAAATATACTCGAATTGTACGTAAATCAACGTACATTCAATTAATCATAATTATGCTCAATACTTTCATTAGATCGGGGTAAAAACATTTTAAGAAGTACGGAATCCTCCGGGATTCGATCTTAGAATCTCTCACATGCTAAGAGAAAATTATACCCCTTGACCAATGCAGTGCCTTAAAAGAAATCCCTTCTAATTAAATGGAAGGAGTGGGCCACTTGTTTATATTCCCGTTCACGTTCGATATTGCTGAAATTTATACAACACGTCAAATCAACCAAGAAATATAAATCCCCGCTTGCAGGAGGTAGAAAAAATGGATTCAACCGCTTTTAATCAGAAGAGGGCAAACAAACAAACAGTCAAACAAACAGTTAAACAGTTAAAACCACTTTTAAATATTCTGATAACTAAAAATATAAATTGTTTAATTCTTCTAAGGTATTGAAATATACATACCATTGTGGGTACAAGTCCGTTGTTATGACATGATGTATTAACTTTATTAGAATTTAATACAGCTCACAACTGCCTGTTATAATCATCCGTGTTTACGAAGGTTCGTGAAATGTCAAAACAGTTTTCAGTGTGCATGGGATATATAATGGGCGATGATAAATTTTATTGTCTGCAACAGTGTAATAGTATAAAAGTAGGTTAAGTAATTTGTTTTGAAGATTTCCGTTTATACGCTGTGGTCTATATAAATCCCGGATTTTCTCTATCCGAACATGTTACACGGAAGACAACTCAATAGTTGGAGGGTAATATTTGCAATACTGGAGCGACTAAGCGCCCTTATTCTGTTAAAATAAATGCATCTGTATACAAGTAAAGCCATATTTAAAACAAATGTTTGGTTGCCGTCTTTCGACCAACTGACTAAAATTGGTCTGACTGAAAACCTTTTTTACCTTGCAGGACACGGTAAAACTTTTTTAATTCCCCTCAGGTAAACAAATACGTTGATATGTTCAGCTGGGAAAAAAGGGATTTTTCCAACTTCATGAACTTACCTACCCAAGAATTTTATCCTGAGTTGAGACAGGGTAAACACACATTATTTAAATATGGCAAGTTAGCAATTCAGGGAGCTAGGATTACTTGTTTTCGGGGTAGCCAGTCACTTTAAGGTGACTTTTAATACAATCTATTTACATTTGTAACTGACCTGTTACTTTCTTTTAATATTTCCACTGACCAGCATTCAAAATGTGTAAAATTAGGGAAGGGTTTGAATTTAAAGTTGAACTTCGAGGAATTTAATTGTTTTTTAAAATAAAAATTGAGGTTAATATTCATAGGACATTTTACCCGGTGTTGTCACGGATATTGCATTTTTTTGTCCAAAAGACACCAAAGTCATAGGGGTCGACAATCTTGACACATGTTCAAAAAGGCTTTGTTAATGGTTGTTTATATACAAGTCTGGAAAAATATCCATTTTCAAACTTTGAATAAAGTCCATGCCATTTTAATTAATGGGAAGAAGATGACCTCACGGTGTTGTGAAGTCTTTGATACAAAAAAATGAAACCTGTACATAGTATCGTCAATCACAATCAGTTCCGGTAGTTATAGATTAAATTAAACAGGGATTTACTATGTATTTAATTTCTTAATATTTTCATATAATAATCTGTTACCAGTTACCATTCAGAAAATATTTGTTTTAAAGATTTGTATGATAAAAATTGTTCTGTTGTTTAGGCCATAGTTTTTTTTTATTTTCTGTTTAACGGGAAGCGCCGACCCAATTTTCTCAAAATACCGAATAAAAATAAAAGAGGTCAATTTCACTTTTATTTTCAAAATACCCGCCGACTGTGTCTTGTTTGAAATAAAATCGGGTTTGATGTACACCTTATTTCTAAAGAATCATGTAAACGTTTGACATAGCTTGTGTTAATCAAAGTCTTTTACGAGCGTCTTGCTGATTACGATGTCGTAACCAGTTTCAGGAACTTGTTTATCACACTTCGCGGGTTCTATTAACAAGCAAGAATGTCATTTCAAGACATTTATAGACAGTAATTTTAAATCCATTGATGATGAAAACAAGAAAGTTCTTGAAATGAGATGAGAGTTAAAACATTGACAAACTCAATACACCAGATGCACATTGAACTGTGGAGCATGTGTCCAAATAGTTGGGGTAAGTTTTCAGACGTTGATATAAGCTTTCTGTTAAAATATTTTAGTGTTTGGCATTTTTATACGTGTTTTTTTTCTTTTAAAGATGTTTAAATATGGTACATAACAAGTTGAGGTAAAATTCGCGGTAAAATTTTATTTTACAATGAATCGTGTCTAACTATATCAGGGATATAAAATGATGATTAAAATATTTTAGATACGAGTCCATGTCTAATTGGTTGAATAAAATGAGGCTAGGATTCCTACAGAATTACAAGAGTTGGTATAGAATACTGACAAGTGAAGTGACAGCTATATTGGAGTTGCACATATCCTGTGGAAAGGTAGGGATAGAAAGAAGTGGACAATTTAATACTTTTAGTGCAAAATGGACAAAGAACGATATTATAGTTATTTTTTTTATCTAAGAAAAAACTCTTAAAATATTTTGTATCTTCATTTAGAAAAGAAAATAATCTCATGTAAATATGTTTTTTTTATCTTCTACTTTCTACCATTTACAGCATGTATTTGATTATCTAATGAAGTATCATAAAGGAATTCTTTTTTGCAGTTTGATTTCTTGGCAGAGACCCAACCATTTGTTAAGAGTTCAGGAGACTTCTACGATGACTTTGCTGTTGTTCATCAAAAAGTTCAGCTGACAAATTTCCATTCGGAACCTCAAAAACGTGTTTTCCCTTTATACTAAGATAGCATTATCAAGTTAGTTATCAAACCCATTGCAATTTTTTAACTTCTGTTAAATCATAATATACATTTAGCTTAAAACATTTCTTATTATGACTTTTATAAATTTTATACAATAGATAGATGATCACTTGAAGACCTGTGTAAAATTTTAAGCAGTGTGGTTTTTCTGTCATCCGTGTTTATCCAACATTATTGTTGCTGTATAACAAATTTAAATTATAATGTTATATTGATTTGCTTTCATACTAGAATAAATGTGCAAGTGTGATTAACCACAGTAGGATAACTTATGCAGTTGTATCTTTTTATCCGTATTTGAAATCCAAATACATTGTAAACAAAATTGTATTGTGTTTTCTTTTGTTTTTAAACATTTAAATGAAAAAAAAAAATTCATACCATTTTTTGGTTTTATTTTTAATATGGCCCCGACTCGATAAATTTTGATCTTTTATTTTTATTTCGTCCCCTCGACCCAACTTTTTCTTAAAAATTCCCGTTAAACAGAAAATAAAAAACTCTGGCCTTAATAAATTATGCTTTCGCCAATTTTCCGCCATGTGTTCTATAAAATTCGATGTACGAAAAATATCCCTAATAAACATGGGCAAATAATCATGTATGATTTAGCAGTTTGTACATTTGTTTGTGTGAAACAACAAAGTCATTCAGTCTTTAATAGACCCACTATATGTAGGTCATAGGCATTTTAGAACTGCATTCATTATGGTTCATTACTCAGCTTTATTAGAACTCCCGTGAAATAGGAATCAGCTGATTAACGTTGATGTTTACGTAGAATTGTAAAGGCATTGTTATTAGCAATGGTGTTTGAACAGATTTCCATACTATAATGGGACACCATTCGATTTTTGCTCATTATAAACGAATTAGGTTTTAACAATGGTCAATGGTTATTAATGTGATGGATTATGCAAAAAAGATAATACAAATAGTTAAACAAAGAAGTGCTGGAATAAAGGAACGTGATTTTAAGTTCTAGGGAAAAAACATTAATAGGCAAATTAAAAAAAAAAATCTGACCGACTGGTAAAAATGAAATATGCGGAGACAACTAAAAGTATTTGCACTCGCAAATAAATCCTTACAAAATAGGAGCTGAGCAAACACGGACCTCCAAAACATCAAAGGTGGGATCAGGTGCCATAGCCCGTCTCAACAACTTCCTTAAGTCCAGGAAACGGTAATTTTTCCTTCTTTTTCTAATTTTACTTATATATATTCGTCAATATGTAAGTTGACATTTTACCGTCATTTTCTGGGCGAAAAATTTCCAGAGAATTTTTCACAAATATGGAGACGTTACCACTTGCTTGTGGCGAGATGCAAAAATTATCTCCTATACTGGGCATTCACGGCCATTGAGCAGTGAGGGATCAATTTCGTGTCATCTCTTAATTCGACAAGGGACCTTAGTTTACAACCTAAGAAACGGACTGCAAGTCCCACCGTGGGGTTCTAACCCGCGATGTCAGTAAACTACCAGGGATGTTTTTGACCATCTGAGATCCATTAAATGTGAAAACTTTTCAAATTTTATTACATAAAAAACAGCCCCAAAGATACAGGTCCAGGCTTTGACATCATTGACCACTAATTTTTTCAATAAAAAAATGGCACTCATAAATTAACTTACCGTGCCTTGGTGATATTTGAGAAATTATTGTATGAAAAGCATTTTAAAAGGTCACATAAGTACTCTGAAGTTGATAATAAAAGGATGCTTGAGTTTCTGTTTGACAATATCTATGGCTTTTGGGGACCAGGTCTTGCAACAATCCACTGTAATTCTAATGGGTACCAGTTTGTGCCCCGTTATTAGTAGAACTCGCTATTTTATTATGTTCATATGATACGAATTTGTTCAAATCATGTAAGTGAAAAGAAGAAAACACTTCCTGTCGCCTTAAACTTCAACTCAACATTTAGATGTTTATATATTGTCGACGGATCGTCAATAAATTGTGCATAATAATTTCTATTCTTCTGTCAATACAACATATCTGGGTAAGTGTCTGATTTATTTCATATCTGGACATTTTTCAAGTAAAAGACAAGCTTTATATAAGCCGGATTAATGCGACCTAAAGGCATAGAAACAAAATGGTAAATTTCATAACATAAATGTATTTACGCTTATCGTATTTTGTTTCTTAAACAATGTATAATTTTCTAAAGGCATGTTTAAAACGTGAAATCATCGTGTTGTATGTATAAAGTCTAGATTGAAAGAGAGTTTGAGAGATTATTAAGCGATCATATTTTTCATGACTGCAAGGTCAATATTCCTCACGTAAAATGGTTCGAATTCGTTATTTATTATTAATGTAAACAGTATTTTAGATGTCATAATTGATTTTGAATCCCTATTATTATTCTTAACATTTTTAAGCAAGCAAATTATAGCTTTTAGCAGGTTTTACAATGATTCTAGGTGAATCATTGTTACTAATGATACATAAGTAGCTTTACTTTTGTACATGATACTTCAATACGACTGATGATATGTTAAACAACACATTTTAATGCTTTACCAGTTAAAAGCCTTCTATGCAGTTCATGGAATATTCCTTACATATCAGAGAAGGTCATAGTTAAAAAATTATTTGTGTTACATAATGTACATTCCTGTTGGTAAATATTATCGAAAATTTAATTTAAAGGGGAAAAACAGGATAATTGGATAGTTTAATGTGCTTTATAAATAAAAAGATATTTTCTTCCAGGAATGATCCTGCAAACCGGATCGGGTCCCTATAAAATAATTGTTTTGCGTCGGGGAAGGAAAGGTTCTTTTGAAAGTTCAAGTTAGAAAAAACAAAAAAACATTGAAACGTTTTCTACAATTTTTTTTTCTTTAATTGCATTCCATGTAAGTCTGAAGGTTTGCATATCATTCATCATTGAGATATAAATCCTGAGAAATTCCCGCGAAAGAATTATTGAAATTATTAATTGTAAATTGTTGAACGTACTTCTCGAGAATTTTTCACTCATATGGTGACACCACCACTTGCCGGTAGAGAACTGCAAATTTTGTCTAATACTCGGCACTTACGGCCATGAAGCAGTTTGGGGTCTTTTTCAAACCAGTACCAACTGAAACACGGGACCTCGGTTTATGCGGTCTCTTCCAATGGACCGGTCTCTACGTCTCATAGTTTGGTTCGAACCTGCAATGTAAGGATTAACTCCTTACCTAACGACTCTAGAGCAGGCCCTCCAGCCACTGCGGCACATGGGCGAATTTTCGTAATGAAAAATGACAATATATGATATGTACATGTATTATTATTTCCTATATGCAGAGAGAAATCTTGATCAGTATTTATTTTCCAAAAATTAGTGTAACTGATGAGGTTAATAAAATCGGAGAAAAATAAGACAGAATTAAAATTAAAATGGTGAGTGTTAAAAAACCTTAATATGTTGAAAGTTTTGAGTAAAGGTAGTCGGTAGAAGGACAACATAATGTTTTGTAATTTCAGTGCTCAAAATATACATTGATCTAATACTGGTAGTGTTATGAAAAAAATACTGAAGGTGTTATGAGCTACAATTAACCTAATCTTAAGGAAAATTTCAGGTAGAGGTGTACCTACATGTAGATTATATTCCACTTCAGTAACATCGGCTTTCATATATACTGCTTCTTTTTCTACAGAAATCTGTAACAGAGTATATCGTTGCATAACGTACGCTAATAAAGTTATTATCAATAGTTTAAGGTGCGGATAACATTAGGAGGTGGTACATGTAATTAGATATTTCTCGGTTTGTAAAAAAGCAATGAAATATATTAACACCTGATTAATATTCGTAGATTGAAGGTAGGGCATGGTGCATTTATGACAATGCTTAAACAAAGTTGTTAATCCATGTGTTATTCTCACGGTGAATAAATATAGCACATAGAGCGAAAGTATTGATTTATTTTATTATTATAAATACATAGTGTATTTCTACCCCCCCCCCCCCCCCCCAAATAAAATAGATATAATAAATTAAAAAAATTAAATAAAAAAATTTCAACATTCTGCAATTGACATTTATAAATTATTCAAAACACAAACAGAAAGTTGCTTCAGTAAATATGAAATATAACTTCATCTTCATAGAATATGAATGACTTTTTGTCAAGAATTCACACTGAAAAGCAAAGTTTATTTGGGATTCCTGTTAATTACTGGTAGATGACTGGTTGTTAATATCAAAAGTCGCAAAGAAACTGTTCCTTTCCGATTCCAATTTTTGAAGTCTTTCAGGACTCCAGAAAAAGAACATTTTTTTCAGTTGGTATCTTGACTCGGTGAACCTCCACACATATAGGACTGGATTTATCGCACTGTTCAAAAACATTACCCCTGCCGTAACGGCTGTTAATCCCCGCATAATTCTATTGCTATAGTCAATGTTAGGAATTGCTTTTAGTAGAAAATAAGGGGTGCAACATAAAAGAAAGAACCCCGTAATAACGGCCAACTTTTTCACAACTCTCACTTGATATCTTGCAGATTGTCCGTAATTTGTTTGTGGAGCCAATGTTTGCTTCCTCCTTGGTTGAGGTATTTGTAAAGAAAACCTGTTCGATTTCTTTTCATTTTCTTTCGATGGTTGAATGGTGACTTTTCTAAAACGAGCGTACAGTAGTTTTGCCATATAAATATACATGATCAGATTTGATAAGATTGTCAAAAGTTGAAACACTTTTGTACATCCACTTAACGCATTTTGGGGAGCTAGATACATTATTCCGCAAAATATTCCGAAACTGTGCGTCGGGTCGTAAAACATAAAGTAAGATATAAGTATACCAACTATCCATGAAAAGAAACAAGCGATTTTGAGGAACCTCGGTGTGACAATCTCATAATATCTCAGTGCAAACCTCAAAGAAAAGCAGCGGTCTATGTTGAACATCGTTACTGTTATGAGTGAAACGTTGATGAACGGAGCGGTAAAATATTTCTTCAGACGACAGTCTCCAAAAGCAACATCCGGGATACTTAAAATAAAGCCGGCAAGGCAGTCCGTGATGGCAAGGTTGATGGAGAGGATCCTAACTTGATAAATTAAACGGGAACTTCGGATGAGAATGACTATGGCGAGAAAATTCTCCAGGCATATAGGAATTCCGAAAGGTATTACGACCAAATCTGTCAGAATTTTTCCAGAAGACTCTTCGTTTCCTGTGATATTCCATTCATTGACATCGTCAGAAATATTTTTAATGAGCATCTTTATCTTTGTTGGTTAACAATAACTCATTTAAAAAAAAATATCGCAAGTCAGCTAAAACAACAGAACACGCAGTTCCAGATT